TATATATAGTCGACAACGGCGACGACGACAAAATACAATTACTCGAATGCGAAATTCGATGGAGGCACCGAATCGTGGATTTTTGCTGGCGAGAGACATAGAGGGAGGAGAGTCGAGCGGGAGATCGATAAGAGAGAGGTAGTGAGCGACAAGAAAAATAGAAGAATAGAATAATATGCATATGCGAAGCACACAAGGTTCACGGATGTGTGTACACACATATTTCATAAGAAACTTTGGCGCTTATTATTTGTTTTGTTCGAAGTCGTTCCCATCCAAATGTGTGTACAGCATCAAAATATGCACTTTAGGGCCGCAGATTAAAATATTATTGAATGTAACGCTTCGTTCTTTTGTTTTTTCTCTCTTTCTCTTTTCGTAATATTAAAAATTGTCGCCTTTGCAAAAAAAATGCTGAGTAATTGTGTGACATTGTACGATAAAAAACATAACCATAGTTATATAACACGCTCATTATCGCACATGGGCACACTCTGGCACACTCACACAATACACATCACAAGAAATTCGAATAAAACTTTACCATCTTTTATGATTCCGCGTTGACTTGTGTGTGTGTGCTTTTTCCATGCTTTTGTCGTGGATTTTTCTTGTTTGTTCGTTCGTTGTTTTTTATTTGCATAAATCTTGTTGCAAATTTTACAATCGTTATATTTTTATGGTTATCGTGACCGAACCTGGATAACTTTCAACTCTAAATTAATGTTGTAAACGTACAGCTCAAACTCTCTTCTTTTCCTCTTTGTGTATCTCTCTTTCTTTCCTTTTTCATGTTATGCATACATTCTCTCAAGCGGTAGCTATTTAAAAAGCACTCCAATGCATACATATCTCTCATTCAAAGTAAATCCCCGTACAGACAGAATCGAGCGAGAGAGAAAAAGCGGGAGATAAAAACTGTTTTGATTATGAAAAATGAAGAGAGAACTAACAGATAACATAAACTTCAATTACAACGTATTCAAACGCATAAATAATGTCGCATTTTCCATCGCACAATAATTTTTGTACGAATTTCACGTAAAAGATATGAGACTCAATACAGTTGTGTGTTTGTGAATTGTTGCGGAAATTTATGTTCGACCAACCACTCAACTTGGCAAAAGTTCAAAGTAACAGCACTTTTAAAGAATGCGAGATGTAAAAAAGCAGCATTTTTCTCATTTTATGAGAATGTAAAATAACAACAGGATGGAAAAAAGCCGAAGGAACAAACTTGAAAATATGGCAAATTTATGTATATGCAGCAGTAAAACAAAGCTTCAGCTACTCATTTTAAAAATGAGTTTCTTTATTCTCTCATAAAAGGCCGGTGTGTGTTTTTTTTCGTTCGAAAAGTTTAAAGCATCTGTATACATAATTTATTCGGAACATAGTTTTACCGATATCGTAGTTTTCTCGCCTTTACCCGTTTTTCACGCAATTATTTGATTATGCAAAGTACACACTTTTATGCATACAAAATTGGAATTAAATTCGCAAATAATTGCATACGCTTTAAAAGCCAAAAAATCACATGTTTATTTCTTTCCAACCGATTTGGTAGCACACATTTAATTGCAATATTAAATAGAAAAGCAGCCGCTGTGTACGAAATTTTCCATTCGGTCGGAATAATTGCGAAAAATTGAAAATGTTCTAGACACACAACAATGGAGATTATATAAAATTGCTAATTATGGTTGTTAGGTCGGTCGAATGTTTTGACGATACGATAATGGGCCGCTTTTCATTCTCATAATATGCATGCCGCATTATCGGTACTTCAGTGTCATTATTATTGTTCGCAAAAAAAAAACTGTTTGGCGGGTGACGTGACGTTTGTGGTTTCATTTTATAATGGACGAATATGCAAATGAATTATTTACCCGAAATTCACTATTCATATTAGCATCGATGAATATTCATTTGGCATTTCCAAAAAACATCATCCAATTAATTTCATTCGACGAAAAACAAATGCGCACACATTTGCAATTAAGGACATCGACCATATTTCAAATTGTCATCGGTCTTCGTATTTGAACGGAACACAGTTAGAGCTGCAAAATTCAATTGTTTTATTTGAATTGTGGGTTTTTTGAGAAAAGAAACATCGAATACGATTTTCCAGAAAGCCGAGTTCTCAATTCAAGTATAGTTGTTAATAATTTAACTTAATTGCAAGTGTGTAAACGCTTGAATGAAACGTTTCGACTCTGTCTCCTTTTATCTCTCTCTCTCTCTCTCTCTCTCTCTCTCTCTCTCTCTCTATAGATGTCCTATTAACATCGAAATATTAACATATCTTATTACTAAATACGAAAAATCCTTTATTAACTATTAACAACCAATCATACTACGCATAATAACATGAGTAGTAGTATTAAGATCGATGTTAATAGCGAGTAGTAGTATGTTTATTATCTATTAAGATGCCGAAGTTAATACGCGCCATTTGCAATTTTGCACAGCAAAATACAAGTGTGAGTTGTGTGTTAGTAGAATGTCGATTGTAAACAAGTGTGAATGCAAGGGTGAGCGAGACAGCATGAAAAAAAGATTTGCCAAGCACGATTTGGGGGACAGAGATGACAAATTTTTACGTTCTGTCCACAACACACGATATAGACGACTTAGCTGTGTTCGAGAATTGAGAAAAAAATGTTTTTTTTTTTTTCACTTTTTGTGCTTAATACCGAGTCTCCGACGGTTTCATATAAAGTTGCCATGTAGATGATGAAAAATTGCGAAAAAT